GCCGTCTCCGCCATATCCGCCGTTCCACCCCTCCCCGCCGTCTTCGCCATCTCCGACGTCTCCGCCGTTTCCCCCTTCCTCGCCGTCTCCGCCGTCCCGGCCGTGCCTGCCGTCCCCGCCGTCCCCGCCATCTCCGCCGTTCCCGCCGTCCCCATCGTCTCCGCCGTCCCCGCCCCTGCCGCCGCGCGGAAGTGGCCCTCCGCGGACCACGCCCGCGGCGCTCAACAGGCTGCTTTCGATACGCTCGAAGCTGCTTTGTCAGTGAAGGTTGCACCAGTCTACAACGGTTCGTGATGATTTCACTACATCAGACGTGAAATGAATAAAAAGTCGAAGCCTTCCAACGACTCTGGTGCGTACGCCGCAAGATCGGAGAACAAATTATTGTGACATAAAATACACTGACAATGATGTATTGCGCTGGCAATTACGTGTTTGCAAAGATTCAAGTTTGTTTTATGTTATGAGTGGAACATCGGCGGGATATCGTCGTAACATGCACATGTTATGCGAATCCTCAACTGGGCCCTAAAAGTATTCCTGTTTCGCTTTCGATACGCTCAAAGAAGCTGTTTTGTTAGTGATCGTTGCAGCAGTCAACTACGGTTCATGATTTTTTTCACCACATCAAATGTGAAATGAATATAAAATGGAGGCTTAGCGCCCTCGAACGAATCTACTGCGTGCGCTGCGTGATCAGTGAATTCTCACACGAAATGCACTGACAAGTATAGTAGCAATAGTACGTGTTACTATTCAGGGTTGTTTTATGTTCTACGTAGTAATTTAAAGCCGGACACGCTTTTCGAAGCCTCAATAGGGCCATGAAGTTTAAATGGTGATGAATAGGGAGGGAAAAGCAAGATGATGGAATGACTTGAGCGGTTTCGTCCGGTGGTCTGAATCTGAATGGTCTGAATCTGAATGGTATTGACATATCTGATACTGGGTCTGTGTTTGAAGATTGGCTCAAGAACGGGTTGATATTCCTTTTATCCATTTATTCTCTGTTGCTGTTTTTTTAAATGTTCATATCGTATAAACCATGGATGACTGTATTGGGTAACGAAGGAATTTCCTTTGTATTATTCCATTTTTATAATTGTTTTAGCTTTACTCCTTGCATAAGGATTTCATATCTGAAGGGTGTCATTACTGCATTACTGTATAAATAGATATTTCTGAGTATTTATTAATAAATAAATATTTATTTAACATTTTATACGGAGCTATTCCATTATTATGTTTATCTGGTTAGGTTAGTATATTTATAATAACCATATCTATTTGAAGTCTGAGATACTATAGAAGTTTAAGTTGGAACCAATTGGATGTTTGCCTTTTGTATAGTCTTTGATGGAATGATTTTTAAAAGTCTTAAAGTAAGTACTTTGGCTACTATGATATTTATTTGTGTTAATTTATTATTTCCATTTATTTAACCAATAAGTAAATTTAAGCCTTCTTGGAAGTTGTTACGACCTACTATCAACAAGCCAGTTTGAATCGAAAACATGTGTATCCTATGCAAACAAGGCAATTTCTGAGTTAGATTCGGGATATGTATTCGGAAATACATATGTTAAACATTGGAGGTGATAATGAGGGGCCTGGCGGTAATCCCGCTAAAAGGTATGTTTCGCTGAATTTTCCAGGTTTATTTTCACTTTGAATTTACGGCAATAAGGAAAGTCTTTTATTATTATTTTTATTTTTTGGATACGAGGGAATCCAATAATTATTATTTTACAAAGAAGACCGTCGTGACAGACGTTATCAATATTATTTTCAACGTCTAAGATGTTTGATTGAAAGTGTGATTGAATTTCAGAAAAATATTTGCTACGCGGTCTGTTAATCAGAGCAACGGATGTGTTGTGGAGTGATTGTAACGGATACCCAATTGAACTTTGAATAGAGTATCTAATTGGTTAACGAAATTGGTTTATGTTTAGGGTATTGGTTTAAGTTAAAGGTACTGGTTTAAGTTAAAGGTGTTGGTTTAAGTTTAAGGTATTGGTCGTGCATGGATGGAACCGAAGGAGGAAACCACTTAATCGCCTAACTAACGGACCTAGAACCTCATCAGGCAATGAACTTGAGCTACTTCGATGCTTTCAGCAACCTCAACTTCCCTGGACTTTACAGTCTATGAAGCACTCTTCGGGATTAACAATTACTCTTTAGCTACAGTCACCGCTGCACCCGGTGGTGTCTATGTAAGACAATTTTGCGAGATGCGGTAGAAACCTTTTAGGACACGGCGCTTCAGAATTGCATTTTCGAGGAACTAAAAGTCCCAGGAAGATTCTTATTATATATAAACAAATCGAACGAAGTGATTTTTGGAATTTTCTGAAGACCGATTTTTCTGTTTGGTCGTGGTTTCTTTTTTTTCTCCACGGTCTCGTCATGTGCACCAACAAATTGAGTGGAATATCTTGTCAACTAGATATTAAACACAGAAATATCTTTCAAATTCAATGTAAATCAGTTATTAAGAATGTCTTATTTATGGACATTCGCTGAATTCTAAAACCATTTTTACAAAAGTTGTTCTCCGTAAATTAATAAAACAGTATTCACAGAAAGATTCTGCTTTATTGTACAGGATTTTGTCTTTACTACAGTTAAACTTCATAAGTCTAGACAAACACGAGTAAAATATGAAAGAAAGTGGATCATATTCTTGGTATAAACAATTTATATTTCTTTTCTCGCCTCTTTTCTTTGGAGAAATTTATGCTCATATTTTCCATGACAATCAATATTGTTGTCTATCGGCAATTCGACACTTTGATTATATTAAATATTTGCTTTCAGCGCCTATAATGAATAAAACGAAAATTGTAAAAAATCATAAACCGTAACAGAATATGTCGAGGCGAATGATCTTTATTCACGGTATAACCTGATTTGAGATGATTGATTATTAACAAATAAGTTATCTATTATTCACTGCATAAAATTATTTGTTACCATTCTATAAAATTTAGTTTTCATAAATTGAATGGGAGAAAACCAGGAAGGTATTAGTGATATTTCATAAATTCTGAGCAATCAGTTTATTTAAGTCGATATACTGTTGTGTCGTGTTTCATCGTGTAAAGTCGTGGCGCTTTGTTTCATCATGAAAAACACATTTCAATTGTTCATTAAAACCACGAAAATACATTGCCACTGAAATATAGCCTAAAATGAAAAAAAAATTAATTGGAACTTACAAAATGTCAGAAATACAGCTCTGATTTTTACCCATTCAATCATCATGCTACCCATAGGGCCAAAGGTACACAGAATCATTTTGGAAATCTTCATTATTTTCTACATTAATTACACATCTCGGTTATCACGCAAACCAATCTTTCTGATCTTTGATTACTCATGGGGTGCTATACAAAACAATAACAACAGCTTCCTCGTTGTTAACCTCAATCTTTCTGAACCGATAGAAGTGTTTAAAAGAAGTGCAGCGCTGCGACTAGTCAGACGCAATCTCAAGCTGAGGCTGAAGAGCCATTCATACAGAACTGCGGCCACGCCCAGGACGGCCTCCATGGAACCTTCACTCACCTACGCTCCCCGTGGACGCCGTCCCTCCCCCAACACCCACACACACACGGGCGCTCGCCTGCCTCGCACCACCCCTCCACACACACACGCACACACATATTCACACTCACCCCGTTCTCCCCTGCCGCGCCACCCAGAAACGCACCCTGCCTCTCCACTCCCGCAAACACACCCCGCGCTTCCTGTGTTTCTTCACACACATCCACACACACACACACACACACACAAATCCCGCACTCCCCTGCCACGCCCCTCCTCTGACACAAACACTCTCCGCCTCGCACAAACACACCCTGCCTCTCCCCTAGCACAAACACACTCTGCATCCCCTCCCCCCAAACTCATCAAACACATCTCGCACTTCTTGCCTTTCTTCATCTGCAACCACACTCACCCACACACAAACTCATCCCGCTCTATCCTGCCTCGCCTCTCCTCTCCCGTAAATCGGCTCTGCCACTCCCCTCGCACGAACACACCCCTGCCTCTCACCACTCACAAACACAATCCGCCCCCTCTCCTTCCACAAACACATCCCGCACTCCTTGTGTTTCTTCACACACATCCACATCCACGGACACACACATCCCGCACTCCCCTGCCCGGCCTCTCCTCTCACACAAACTCACCCGCCACTGCCCTCGCACGAACACACCCCGCCTCACCCACTCACAAACACAACCCGTCTCCTTCTCCTTCCACAAACACCCCCCGCGCTCCCTATGTTTCTTCACACACATAATATATAATAAACGGAGGCGACGGAGAAGGCGTAGAAGGAGGTGAATGAGGATGGGTCGGAGGAAGTGGAGGAGGAGGGTGAGGCGGAGAATGAGGAGGATCAGGAGGAAAGGAAGGTGGTGGTCGAGGAGGCGGAGGAGTGGGAGAAAAGAAGGTGGAGTGGAAGTAGTGGTGGAGGAGGCGATGAGGTCTGATGAGGAGGCGAAAGAGGAGGTGTCTGAATAGAAGGCGAAGGAGAGAAGATAGTGGTGGTAGTGGTGGAGGTGGCGGCGACGGCGGTGGAGGAGATAGCGGTGAAGGCGG